TGGTGAGCTTAACCTCTGTTTGTCAGAAGCTAGAACTGGATGACAGGAGAGGGATCACTTTATCATAAACCTGTTCTGTTAATTCCATGCGGGGCATCTGGCATTGGCCAATGTCAGAAGACCAGACACTGGGCTGGATGAAGCTTTGGTCAGGCCCAATATGGCTGTTCTTATGTTCATGATATATTAACGTTGTTATGAAAAAGTGTGAAAAACATCTCAATCTACTTAAAAGTATAGTGGTGTGTTCTGTAAGTGTAACATGCACTGATTGACTGATTGTCTCTCTAGGCTATTCAAAGCCCCGGCTGTCTGGAGGAGATAGTCCCTGCTCAGGACGTGTGGAAGTAAGACATGGCGAAACATGGGCGACACTATGTGATGCACACTTTGATCTCAAAGCTGCCAGTGTTATCTGTAATGAATTAGAGTGTGGAACAGTTCAGTCTATCCCAGGAGGAGCTCACTTTGGAGAAGGACATGGGCTGATCTTGACTGAGGAATTCCATTGTGCAGGGAATGAGTCACACCTGGCATACTGTCGCAGGACAGCACATGGGAATCAGACGTGCTCACATGCGGATGATGCCAGTGTCATATGCTCATGTAAGAATTGAATGTGATGTCTCTAAATCCCAAGCATGCGTATTCTAGATTAGGGTACAGCAATACAACAATCTTACTCTATAGCGAGTTGAGACACTAGGGTGGCATCAGTTTCTGTTAAAAGCCATATAATCCAAGATAATAAAGGGATCAGTCCCCCCTATCTTCCCATTCCTATGTATTTTGTAGAAATTAGTTCCAAAGCTCCCTCTGTAAACCCATCTCCCTTCTCCCCAGGGTACACAGGGTTCCGGCTGGTGAACGGCAGCACAGCCTGCTCCGGGAGGGTGGAGATCCAGGTGCATGGTGCCTGGGGAACCCTCTGTGACTCGCACTGGGATCTATCAGATGCCAACGTTCTCTGTCATCAGCTTGACTGCGGATTCGCTGTGTCCGTGCCAGGAGGAGGGCACTTTGGGAAGGGAACCGGCTCTGTCTGGCCAGAGACATTTCACTGTAAAGGGACTGAACCCCATTTGTGGCACTGCCCTGTCACTGCCCTGGGGGCCTCTCCGTGCTCACACGACAGTGATGCCAGTGTGGTTTGCTCAGGTAAGTGCAGGAGCAATGTTGATTAATGACACCTGCCCCTCAGTGTGTGACATTGCCCCAGAGCACCAAAGCTCCCTCTGTAAACCCATCTCCCTTCTCCCCAGGGTACACAGGGTTCCGGCTGGTGAACGGCAGCCCAGCCTGCTCCGGGAGGGTGGAGATCCAGGTGCATGGTGCCTGGGGAACCCTCTGTGGCTCGCGCTGGGATCTCTCAGACGCCAACGTTCTTTGTCATCAGCTCGACTGTGGATTCGCTGTGTCAGTGCCAGGAGGAGGACACTTTGGGAAGGGAACCGGCTCTGTC